GTAGTGCTTATTTAGTTAAGCACAGGGACAACTTTTACTTTTTTAGAGCAGTTGTATAGAGGGTATAGAAGTAGACTTTCAGCATGGAGGTAAGTGGTCATCTTCATGCCTCTGCTGCCTGATGACTTGGATGCACTATAGAAGAAATTTGAGTGATAGTGATGTGCACAGAGGGATATGTGACTTCTCATAGCAGTACAATACGATGTCATTTAGTGTCAAAATGCCCCCCCTCCTTTACCAGCTGTTAGTTGAGCTACAAGTTGGTTGGTTGGTTTCCAAAGGCTGCATTTTGGATCATTTAACCCAGTTTGCTTCTTGCTTCCCAATAGAGAGCACTCAAGTTCTTTTTCCTTTGGGAAGCTTTGCCAAGTATGTTGCTCATTTTGCACTACCCAAGGGACACGTATGACTTAAAGAATGTCACGGACACAAGCAACTTTGTCCCCCCCCCCCAAAATGTGGAACGCTTCACGATTTTGCGTGTCATCCTTGTGCAGGGCCCATGCTAATCTCTGTATTGTTCCAGTTTTAGTATACGCACCGCTGAAGCGAGTACATTGAGCTACAAGTAAGAATATAAATTTCAGTCTATTTGAAAATGAGATGTAAGTAGGAATATTCTTGTACTCAAGAGAATGGAGATTGGTTCTTATGTTACTTACCAGTTCTTATCCATTTACTGAAGGTATATAACATTAAAATGAGGTGAGGAAGTGATCCTGAATGTTGGGTAGGTAAGATCATGGAAGGAGGCAGTCATGACCAATTTCAGTGTGCCTGCTATACCAGAATTTTCTTGGGGAGGCTGAGGGAGTACAAAATGAAAACAGTTTTGTTCACAAAACAGCAAAAAGACCACATGGGAGACCTAGGTATAAATGGAGGATGCGTAAGTGTGGAACGTACACACACACACACAATGCAAAATTGCGGTGGTGGAGGGCACAGTCCAATAGCGGAATTATGTGAACTTGGCAATGAATATCCAGATTCCTTAAATTCAGAGAATTCCTTAGTCTGTTAATTTACCGTAGCATTAAAGAGGATCTTTCCCTTCAGGGTTTTTGTTAGGCCTGTGACAGAACTCACAAACTGTGTATATTATGACTGTTACGTAATGGGCGTTTGTAAAGGAAAGCAAAATGTAATCCATGCTATAAATTGCATTGAAACTCAGTGCAGCAATATTCGTTCAGCTTCTATTTTTAACCCACTAGCCTGTATAGAATCTAGTAGGCCTATGAAGAATTTATGTTCAAGGTTTCTACAAGTTTCATTCTCCCAAAGAAGCAAGAACGAGCTTTAGACCGCATGAAAGTTAAAGTAATTGTGCATGTGCTTAGGGTTCTATGAAAAATATACGGGAACTGTTTCGACAGTCCTTTACCCAGATTAATAATCATCTTGGTGTGGAGCTAAGAGAAGAAAATTCATAGGCCAGTTTGTTTAATTGGTTCACATTTGAGATGGCGCTAAATATTTTTATTCATAATAATCAGCTTAGAGGATTAGACTGTTCCAACTTAACGGCCTTCAAATACCTTGTAGACATGTACGTTCTTTGTTTTCTTTTCCAATTTCATGGTGTAGGCTTGTGCTTCTAGCAAATCTGCTTTCTTGGTGGAACCAATTCATTTTAGTATCAATGCTGCCATGTAATCCAGTAAAATTCAACAGACGTTTCGGAATAGCATATTTTCGCCGGTCAAAAGTAAGCCAATCATGGAACTAGTATGAAGAAGGCAGCAAGCAGAGCATGTGCTTCTGAGACGTCGGTTAATTTTCAACAAACTATATGGTTCTGTGTCCTAGAAGATCGAACTGTTAATAGCCACTGCTGTGGGAACCCCAAATATAACGTGTTTTCTGATTGTCNTCACATTACATTTGGGTTATTATCCTGTCGTACAGACATTAGTTCCATCCTGTCACCCTGCTATTGGGTATCCTATCCCTCTGTCTCTCTTTCTCTGTAAACCTAGTCCATCTAGTTTTCACTTTCTCTCCCTGGGGTTTGCACTTTAATATTATCGCACTTAATGTTCATGGATATATGAAGTAAGTCTACTTACGTGAGCTGAGGAAAGAGGCGCTCGCCATCACTCTGTCGGCGATAGCCTCCGGCTGAACTCTGTATCAATTAATAATATTAAAAAGTTTTTTTGATTGATTCCTCTAGAGTTTATGTACCCTCTTTTTGCTGACTCGCTGGGTTCCGGGGGTGTATTCACCCGCCCATCCTGACGTGATTTTGGGTCGGTGTGGCCCACTCATTGGCTGTTTATCGAAAGGGGGTTGGCTCTTTCAGGTCTATCGCCCTCTCCGACTCAGCGTTTTCCTCATGCCATAGTTTTTATGACCCACTTCATATAGCTTCTTCCTCAATGTCAGCGTTATTACGCTGTCGCGCTAACATTCTGATTACTCAGGTATTGCATGTTACACTTCTTTGCAAACCCAAGCTTCCTGGTACGATTCATTATTTCTGTTTTTTTATCTTAAAGTCTAGATACACTTATTCCAAATTTACCCAGAAAAACATATCTACTTGTACATAACCCTTGGGCCATAACAGTCTGATTTGTAATATGGTCAGCTCTTCATAATAGCCCTTTGTAATCTCATGCAGTTTATGCCTGTTGTTCAGTGGAATCCCACATTGTGGTCCATGTAACAATATGAGTAAAACTGCTGCGTTATAAAACTTTAGATAAGATTATGAAAATATAAGAAAGTTTGCCCAAGCGCCTGCCCAAACCTCTCCGGCAGTGGTTAGGACACAATTGTGTAGCCCAGCGAATCAAACAAGCCCCACTCAGATCACAGCCGATACCAGAAATGGTGCCTGTCCTTAACGTATATGTACCCTGCTCCTTCGTGAATAGTTCACACGGCATTCCTTTTCGGAAATAGAGCAAATTTTATAAACCCCAGTCTCATGTGCAAAGCAAAGTCCCTTAGACTTTCGAGGGGAATGTTCAAGGCACCGACTTCGTCCAAATTCCCTTAAGTGAGGATTCGACTTTGTGGTTTCTCACTTTGTCTCTATCTCTCTGACTTTCAATAACAACCCTGTGAAAATTTATTTAGTGTCTGATTTCTTCTGCCCCGATTGCGGGTGGAGCTGTATCATCCTAAAATTTAAGTCGGAATGTTTTCCTTATTCTTCACATGAGCATCGCGCATGAACACCTATACCGATGTGTATCTGTCACGTGGAAATTCGGCACAAAAAGTAACGCGACTGAGTTGCTGATTTGTACACTATGAGGCTATCGGGGGTTTCGGACTGTAGTCGACGGTCATGTAAACAAATAGCACTTGCGTCACGGTAATTACGCCACAACTCGACCGACCGAAGGATTTGCAACAGTCTCTCGGAAGGCCACTCTCTGTGGTGAACAATTTACAGGCTCTTTCAGCCGAATGAATTATAAATGGCATGATAGCATTTGTTCTTAAGTATTTGTTAAAGTAACTAAAAATATTTTACTTATTTATTGATATAAACTCCATAAATATGTATTATGTTACGTATATTGTTTTCTGCTCCTGCTCCCCTTGTGGAACATAGGGCTGATTTCTCAGATTCATGGTCTTTTTATAGACGGTAGGACTCCTTGGATTGGTGATCAGCTCGTCACAAGGCCTCTACCTAAATACAGCATAACACAAACACAGAATAAACGCGTACACACACACACACACACACACACACACCCATGCCTTGAGCGGGATTCGAACCCATGATCCCGGCTTCCGAGCGAGCGAAGACAATACGTACATGCCTTAGACCGCTCGGCTACCGTAACCAGCGTTACGTAAAATTAACGTTCATTAAATGTATGCTTACATATGTGCTGTAGCGCCACTTGTCTAGTTACGGAGTAGAGACCTGTAAGTTCAGATTCGAGAAATTGTAGTTGAACTATTGTAGATGATAACGATATTTCGCCAGTCGTCGTGTAGGCTTTAGAACAGTTTTTGAATGTTAGTATGCAAGTAATGAACTGCGTACATGACATAACATTTCTTCTTTAACTCTCACACAAACGTACGGAAAAGTGCATTTGGCATTAAATATGTTTCGTTTTTCTGTACAGTTTTTAGTCGAAACAGTTTTCTTTCCGTTAAATACGAGTATTTAAGGAATTATGATCAAGATACGCGCAGAAATGGTTCCATTGTATCCTTCATTTTGTCCTATCTTAACCGAGTTGGAACATGCCAACACATTTTAGCGAAACTCCGTAATATCAAGTTCCGTGGAAATCCGTTCTACAGTTGTCAGACTGTTTTATGCTTACAGACGGACGGACAGATTCTGACAGGTGCTCCGAAGAACTACGAACTCGCCTAAATGCCTGTTGTAACAAACGATGCAGCATCCTTGAACTCTGTGACGTTTGAACGGTCGTTACATTGTGTTGCGTTACATTTGTGGAAACATTGAACCCGTTGTATGATACTACATAGGAACTTGTTATCGCAGTTTCTTTTGTTCACTAACCGTTCACCTAGGCCACGCCATAGCTCAAGCGGCTAGTCTCTGGTTTCCCACCACTGCGGCCCGGGTTCAGTCCCGGGTCTGGTCAAGTGGGATTTGTGATGGACAAAGTGGCGCTGGGTCAGGTTTTCTCCGAGTACTTCGGTTTCTCCTGCCAATCTTCATTCCACCAATTGCTCCACAATCACCCTCACCTATCATCTGGGGCTGGTACAAGAGGCCAGAAGTGGCCGCAGTACAAGGGACTTAGTCCCACCCCACTAGCAATAGAAAAAAAACGTTCACCTTCCTTCCAGGTGTTACAACCCAGTACGTACAAACGAAAGGTTTTAGGTTATTTAACAATGTTGTTTCAGTTGCAGATATTATATATTGTTGAAAGAGGGGGCTAGATGGTCATGAATGATCATTAAGGAAGGACTTGAAAAATGCGGCCACGCTACGAGTATTCCAAGGAAGTACTCTGGCATTCGCCTGGCGAGAAAGAGTAAAAGATGGAATACCCAGTCACGACAGCCAGTAACTCGTCCGATATTCGAGGCTGGAATCTCCGGAAACGTCGCTGGAACGTGTTACTGACATGCAGATCCCTCCAGGCAAATATCTCAATTTGGTCGCGACTACTTGCTAACACGTCCTTTCCACTTCATCACTCAACCTGTCATTCGACGCAAAGTCTGAGCTGTTGAGAGCATCAGTAGTACGCCAAGTGGGAAATGTTGTGCAATTGAGGGACTGTATGCTTCTCAAAGACTCTGCTACATGAAGTTGTTTATTTATTTAGTTGTGAAAGCTGCGGCCACATGCATGGCGCGGGATGTCCGCTGTCGAGGCTTCCCAACCTCTGCACGCAGACTGTTTTATTCCTGGTTTGATTACGTTAACAAGCCCACAACCGTTTTCACTAAAGAAGGTTATCATATGACTATTGTTCTTACATAACAAAAGCGAGTTTTGTCCTGACCTTGGTGGCAACATTGTGTTTTGATTGGAAATGAAAGACAGCGAGATACATTTAACATATACTCGGATTGCAAATGAAGCATTAA